CCACTGACCCGACCCCCCCCCCCCCAAGTGCTTATCCCACTCATCTCGACTGTTTGAGATTAAGGTATTCATAATGATGAATATAATGGATAACGAAAGAATCCCTAGACCCTTGTAGTTGTACACAATATGATAGGCCCTATACTGCACATCATACGTGATGTATCTTAGAAATTCACTGGAAAAATGAAATATCATTATCCAAACAATCAGATTACACTCCATTGCATGATTGGCATCCTGAACAGATTACATTAGACAGATTTTGACAAAAGATAGGCCGGTATGGAAGATATCCATGCATATTTGGAGAATTATAGGAAGATGGACAAATCCTATTAAGAAATTCCTGACAGCTTACCAGATGTCTGGCTGCCAAAACCTTTTGCAAAGCGCGCACATCAGCCTGAAACCCTGATGAAGCCATCACACACTTATCTGCTCTGAAACAGAAATGTAAGACAAGTTTAAGGAATATTATACACATTAAAAAACACCAATGATTAGAGTGATTGAGTGTCACTCAGGCGTGTGAGTGGTGGCTAGGTGAGAGGTTGGGGTCAATGCATTTAGTGATTTTAGTCACAAATGTGTTTCATCTGTATCTAGTGGCTAAGTTTGCCTTCAAAGGATTTGGCTTTGATGGTGAGCTCCCCAATCTATTTACAGACATCAAGTTGTGTGATATTCTATGTTGGCACTATAAAATGAAAGACATAACTGAATTTTAATCCTCTCGTCTAGGCATCACATAGCTTGCGGACATAGGGTAGTCTTTGAAATCCTATCCCCTATCATTGTAGTGGCATCTTAAAGATCTAACTCTTGGTGATTTTAGTATCAACTATTTTATGTAATTGGATTTATTTAGATCGGACGAAATTTTAATAGACGTTGCTGACGAGTTTGGAGGTGTGGAGTGCCCAGCTTCCTTTACGACAACATAACATTCGAATGTTTAGCATTAAACATTCAAATGTTTCCCCAATATTTATGACAGTTCGTGCAAAACTTTAGAAGCATCTATTTGCATGTTAACCGCTATATACATTCGAATGTTTGAAAATAAGTTGTAATGTTTCCGTTCAAACTTTGCTCTATACATATGGAGTCCAGGGTAAGTTTGAGAAACATGAAACTTCCATACTCATTCTAGATACTTACGTCTTATCCAATTGAAGTATTCTGGCATACCTCGAAATACTTTTAATCTGAAAGCATGTTTCACACAATTCGCTAAGTCTATCGAGTTTCTTCACGTTCATCGTATCCCATTTCTTATAATACTGCTATGCAACGTTGTCACCCCTCCCAACTTTCTTACACTAACATCACTTATAGCATCTCAAATGCCATGGGAAATTTCAAGGCAGCCCTAGACATTGTATATTGTCTCTTTAGAGTTAAGGATTTAGAAGTACGGTCCTATAGAACATATCATGTTCTGTAATTGTTTACATGGAGAACCATCGCAGTCTCCCGACACAAAAAACCCACAGTTTGAGTATGTAATTCCAATCTACCTAGGATGCTATTTGACTTCAAGAGTTTGCTCACCCCGTGCTTTTTTATTATGCTTCAAAATTGCAACAACTTTTTTCCAATTGGTTGCAGGTACCAATCTTTTTATTATCTTCTATCAATATTCAATAGCATTGGCATATAAAAGGGTGAATCTGCTCAGAAGCAGTGTCCTTAAAGGAGATTTGCGCCAAAGGGGTGGATGGCCTCCTAACCATTGCCTAGAGATAGGCAAATAAATTAATGTTGAGATATTTAAAATTAAAGTGTATCAGCATCTAACGTGATTTAATAGCATATTTCATGTTATAAAACCAGTTTATTATAAAAATTATATAGTTCAGTGATCAAAACTATGACTTTTGAATCAAAGAAAAAAGTAACAAATAAAAACTTGAAAAAAGAAAGATAGCATCAAGTGCCTCGCATTTTATGCAACATATGTCTGTTGCTAGTTTATTATCATCAAATACGGAGGTAGGTTCTGCCTAGCCGATTTCTAGATCAATGCTTTAAAATAGATAAAAACATTGTGTGAAAAAGATAAGAAAGCCTCTGGAAATGTGTGGTCTTTATCTTTCAATAGATTCCTTTTACCCGAATAGAAAAATGATATCACATTAACTTGATGCAGATATGGTACATGAGAGGGTGCAATGGCATAGTTTGATCCATGTAACCGATTGTATCCCTCCACCAGACCTCCATCCCCATTTCGCTCCACTCTGATTGATGGATTTTTTGGAGGTGGGCTAATATTTGTACTCAAACACCCAAACCCTCTCCTCCAACAAAAGCAAACAATGTACAATGACAGGGAAAAGTGATAAGGTAAAAAACAGAAGGAAGGTTTACAGTTTAATGATTTTGGAGTAATCCCGTGTGAGGATGTTATAGCCAGTGGACATCCGAGTATCCGCCGCAATCACGCAGTAATCCGCGCCGGCTACCGCCACGCAGGTTCTGCACAAATTGCTTGAAATTATGATACTAGCGAATTGCAAAATATTTAACCATAACGATAGACAAGTAAAAGAACATATTACCCTCCATTGTTGTCGTAAGGAGACCAGTTTGCTTGCTGCTTCGTCATCAGATCCAGACTCGACTCGAGAGAGAGAGAGAGAGAGCCTTCGTCTTCTGCAAGTGAGATATCATCAAGCTTGAACAGTTAAACCATTCTCGGTCTCAGTAGTCCATTCTCGACTGGGCTTACTTTTTAATTCAACAATATGCCTAAAGGTAGATCGGCCCACATTGTTGGTCTCAATTTTTCTTTTACCTGAACTTTTTTTAATTACAAAGTATTACGGATTATTATTATTATTATTATTATTATTATGTTTCAATAAACTTAAATTTTAAATTTTATTTTCAAAAATCTAAAAAGAACTATTTTCAACGATAAATTCTACAGATGCCCTAAAGTCCACCCATCATTCACCTTCATATGAGCAAAATAAATATTTTCTTACTACTTAAATAAATATTTATTTTTTAAAAAATAATTAATAAAAATTATATGAGAAAATTCACAAAAATAGTATGCACCCAAGATGCAACATAAAAATACTCTTTAAATAATATTAATTTTTTTCTATTTATAATTCGACGAGATCAATCTTTTTTCCCTTTTTCCTCTCCTATTTTCTCTCTTCTTCCATGGGCAAGGTACACT